CTTCTTTATTGGCATACTAAGGAGTCATTTTAGCCATTTCTATGCTGCTCACCACCCCAGCAATGAAATTTTAGTACCACAGATATACTGTATATCTGTTTAGGTACTGTGTATATACATACATATATGCATTATACATAAAAAGAGTAAGTTTTTTTCATCCCCCAAGAGCCAATTTTTGTCCTCTTGGAGGCAGTGTCACCCCCTTGAGAATGCATAGCCTAGAGGCACCAATACATTGAATGATGTGAGCAAACACAGGGTGGGGGAGTGGGATCCAGTGCTTGGAGGGGGCTGATGGGCTCCAAAATTAGAAGGGCTCCAAAGGCAGGGGTAGTACCTAAGGGAGTGGGGAAAAGAGATTTTCTTAAATATGTGAGGTCAGGGATTCTTTGACCTGGGGTCACCATCACCACCTCCCCAGGTGCCATCCAGAGATGTGGTAAAGAAGTTTCTCTCTTTCTTATATTCGTCACTTAACTTGTCTCATTCTTCCCTCCGTGGCTGTAAGTATGGTCACATGTCATCTGAAATGCCATTGTGCTGTAATGAAATTATCATTTCAGGATGTGTGGTTTGAATTCTTTTTGTTTTATTTAGAGACCAGGTTCCCAAGAAGCTTGCTTTAAATTCTTTTTAATTAAGTGAGTTCAGAAAAATGGCTACTACTCCAATTTGCAAGAAATGGGTAATGAAAGTGCTTTAACCAGAAACTATTGTGTGCTCACTTGAGATTTCCTAATTCTCAAATAACAACCTTAGAAAGAATCAAACGGCAATTGGTGTTCCAGATATAGAGCAAATTGGTTGTCCCTGGTCCTCCCAGGGCCAGCTCATTTCCTCGTACCTGGTCTCTTAGACCATCTTCTAACCAAATGCTGTCGAGGAGGAAATAACTAGAACACTGAACAAACCTTTTCCCATTCAAATCTCTCTTTCCTCCTAATGTTGCTGCCACGATGACTTTATTCTGAACTCTGTAACCCAGCACACATCTCAAAGGTGCTGATTAACCTTAAATAGCTTCATCTAGTCACTTACTAGAAGGCATGAGAAGGAAAGCAAGGCCTCCTACTATTTTTCTTCTTCACAAACAAGCTATGGTTGTTCAGCTGGTCAAAGGGCAGGAGGCGTTCCTGGAACAAAATGAATGCTTAAGAAAGCTTCTACCAAGATATGGGGAAGGCCGTCCACCAGATTATTATTTGAAGATTTGAAAGTGCTAGAAACGAACCAGAGAAGGTGACCCCAGAAGTCAGAGAGCTTGTTGGCAAAGGATAATCTTACATTTATGGCCACAGGTGTCAAGCCTGAGTGCCTGATAGAATAACCCGGGAGCTTTTCAGTTTTCCATTCTCAACTCTAACCCCAGAGAGATTCTGACTTGCTGGGTCTGGGGTGGGTTGATGGCACTGGTGTTTTTGAAAAGCTCCCCCAGGGATTCTGATGTGCTCAATCCAAGGTTGAGAATCACTGCTTTAGATTACAAAGCACTTTCACGTACATTATCCAGGGTTTTGTATACATAAAGAGAGGAAATAGAAACATTTTTAATGCCTGTAGATTGTATAAGGAAAGAGAAAGAGACAAGAGTAGTAATTGTGAAAATGAAAGGATTGCAGAAAAATAAGTTTCGAAAAATTGGAGAGAGGCTGGACTGAAAGGACACAAGTTAGGGTTCCTTTGGTCCTGATTATATGACAAGTAATGAGTGTATGAATGAGAGCAGTAGCAGTTGAAGGTTGAAGGAAGAGACATGTCTGATATATGTTGTAAAAGTCAAAGGCAAATTTTTGGTAACTGATTGGATGAAAGGGGTGAAGGAGAGGGAAGAGTTTAAATAGAATCCAAGGTTTCAAGTTCAAATAACTGAGTGAACTATTGGCAGAAATTCAGGAAGTCCCTTTTCTGGGGGTGAGAGGCACATCGTGAGTAGCCAGACTTTGAAAATCTGTGATTTGTTGTGAGAGTAGGCCATTGGGTGGAAGACCACAGCAGGAAGTTGGAAACATAAATTTGGAACTTGGAAGAGTCTGGGCTAGAAATGAAGCTTTTGGGGTCATCAGCATATCAGTGCAGTGGTAAACTTGGAGAGTGGATAAAATCTCTGAAGGGGGGAAAGGAAGAGAATAGAGATCCTCGGAAAACATTTAAATTTGGGACAAGAAGGAGGCAGAGGAGCCAGCAAAGTAGGCCAAAGGAGAGTGGTAACAGAAGGATAGAAACACCTAGAAATATGCATCACAGAGCACAAGGGAATGGAAGTTTCCAGAAAAGAGCTGACTTAGCATACACTCAGAGAAGCCAAGAAGAATAAAGCCGTTTGGAATTGTTGATTCAAAGGTTATAAGGATCAAGGGTAGCAATAGAAGGATAGGAGGCAGCTCCGCATGGGAAAGAGGGAGGGGATCATAGGAGACAAAGGCCGCAGGACTGGCCTCACTTTCAAGAATTTGACAGCAAGGAAGAAAGAGAAGACAGTCGCTTGAAGGGGTAAGACATGTAAGGGAAAGTGCTTTGTTTTGTTCTTAAGATAAAGAGTACCACTTAAGTCTATTTTAGACAGAGATAAAGGAGCCATAGAGAGGGATGAGGGAAGGCGCATAGATGTTGCTGGATAGTAGCAGCAAAAACACTTTCCATGACAGAAATCACAGCAGAGTGAGGTCCTAAACTGTTTTCTCTTTTATCATAAAACAAACCAGAACTCATGGAGCTGCCGTCCCTAACAACTCCCACGCAGCAATTCTCTTAGGGAATAAGGTGAGGAGCAATGGAGCAGGATTTTTTCTCCTCTTCTGGGGGAATGCATGAATTTAATCTATACATCCCAGGGGAGAGGGAGAAGGAACCCGCGCTGCAGAGAGTCTTCCAAGAGTAAAATAACTTCCATCAGGTGCGGGGAGAAGAGGAAACTTTGATAATGAATTGGGGGTGTAAAATATTAGGATTTTCTTTTTATAAGTACTGTTTGCAGATTGCATACCTTGTAAATGTTCTATGTGCGGGAGAGGGGAGGGCATTTTTATCCTGTTTTTGGAAAAAGAAATAGTTAAATGCACTTAAGTACCTGAATATTATTTCACTCACTCTGTATGAGGCAAAAGCTTCCTGGAAAAAAATAAATAGAAAGGCAAAAATATTGATAGTGGTTAATGAGTGATGGCTGGCCTTCACGGCTGTAGGCCTGGGTAGGACGGCTGCCATAAAACATTCAGCAAACCTGCTCCGGTGTCCTGTCCTTTCCTGTCAAGGGGAGGGAGGGGGCGGCACTGGACACAGGATGTCAGAAAGGAAAGGGGGATGGAAAAGGGAGCAGGGAGGTGAAGAGAGACTCCATGTTCCCTGGGGTATGCGCATGCCCTCCCTCTTCTGTGGGATGGGCTGGGTACCACGTGCATCTCTGTGTTTTCAGAAATGGTCCCTGGAGCCCCATCACTGTCACATTGCTGCATAATCCTCCGACACGGAGCAAAAGCTTGGAGGTTGTTAGCACATCTCCCTCTGGAGATGGAACTGGGCTCAGCACCAAGAAGAGAACACCAGAGGGGATTCGTCTCTCCTCCGTGCTCAGATAATGGCTATTCCCTGATGCCCAGGGAAGAATCAAGTTCGATGCATGCCTCGCACTACATCACACACTCAATCCTGAACAGCTGAACTGCTAACATAATTTAAAAAGAAGAGAGAACTGGCTGTTCACCATCTATATATAATGTATTCATAATAAATCTCTCAATGAGGAGGTATAAAGGTTTCCTGTTTCTGTACAGCCAAGGGAAGCAGGGCATTAGGCAAGTATCCAGTGAGTCTCATTAACAGAGGCAACCAATATGGAAAATCCAGGGGGACTCGCTCCACATTGCTATTAGTCATGGCATTTTTTTTTTACCTGAAATATACTAGTAATTTTCTCACTTGCAAAATTGACTTTGCCTAAGGATTAATAAATATGCTTTTTCTTAATAGTTAATGAATATCCTCCATGTTCTAGAGACTACATAAAAGTAAAGCATCGCTTGTCACCTTTTTTTTTTCTTTTTTGACTTTATTTCTGAGAGGATAAAATAGTAAAGCCATCCCAGAATGATTTATTTTCAAGAAAATGGAAATAATAAAACATAAGACAGTAGAGTTGTATAAAATTCTACATTATGTATGAAATGCCTATAACAATAAGATCATCTCAGTGTCTAAGAGGATACCTACCTACCCCCTTTTCTTTAAGGCAAAGGAATGGGACATGCATTTGATCATTTAGTAGCAGATTTGGCTCATTAAGGGATGAGTTCAAAAAGAGGGACATGTAAATAACCTGTACTGAGCTCTTCAGAATGTTTATCTGATCTGTCAAGAAACCATTCCTACTGACTCATTTTTACCATAGTAAAGTAGTATATACAAAACCATAAAAAGAAGGCAAGTTTTTTTTTTTAATTCTGCCTTTCCTAGAATTTAAATGCCCATCCCAGCATTATTGAGACAGATGCAGAGTTTTCATATCCTTTGTTTCAATGACTGCGTGAATAAAGTGGATATGCCACCATCAAGCATACTTCTATGAGAGACACTTCAGCAACCTCCACTTTGTCTCTATTATGAATATTCTTCAGAAGACATATTTATTTTTCCAAACATTATTTCCTCAGGATAGCTTTTCTGAAATGAAATTACTAGATCAAATGGTATGAATATTTTAAAGCTCCTCTTTCCAAACATATTTCTAAATAGCTTTCAAAAAGGGTATTAATTTACCTTACACTAACAATATATGAGAATTATAGTTTTACCCCCGGCTTAACAAGCTGGTAATAAGACTACATTACTTTTATTTGTGCTTGCTCATTCCTAGCAAGCTTGAAAATTTTTGTGAGTATTCGTTTACAATTTTTTGTGTGTATTTTGTTCTTAATTTTTGTTTGTTTTCTTATCAGTTGGCTTATTTTTCCCAGCTCTTTCCCAGTCTCAACTGCTCTCCTTGGCTTTATTGCTTTGTGCAGGCTCCCATGACTCATTCAGCTACTGGGTGGATGAAAAGTCCCCGGTGGGGCCTGACCAGACCCCAGCTATCAAACGCCTCGCCAGGATCTCCTTGGTAAAGAAGCTAATGAAGAAGTGGTCTGTGACTCAGAACCTGACATTCCGGGAACAGCTGGAAGCTGGGATCCGCTACTTCGATCTGCGTGTGTCTTCCAAGCCTGGGGATGCCGACCAGGAGCTCTACTTCATTCACGGGCTCTTTGGCATCAAGGTCTGGGACGGGCTGATGGAGATTGACTCTTTTCTTAAGCAGCACCCCAGAGAGATTGTCTTCCTGGATTTCAACCACTTCTACGCCATGGAGGAGGCCCATCACAAACGCCTGGTTCTCCAGATCCAGGAGGCCTTTGGAAGCAAGCTGGGCTCAGTCTGCAGTGTGGAGAGTATGAGGCTGCAAACCCTGTGGGAGAAGAAGTGCCAGGTAGGAGGAAGCAGAGATGAGATTCCAAGGGCAAGAACGGAACTCTTTCTGCTTTTTCTGTATGGCCAGCTGGAAGAGAGCTCACTCCAGGCTCTTAGACTAGAAGGCAAGGATTGTTTGGAATATTAAACATACACATGCTGGTTCCCGGGCTCTAGGATAGCTTCCTGGGCTCCCGGGGCGCCGCGGAACTGGGATTAACACCTACCAAATATTTAAAACTTGTTTGGCAACCTGTTTGGCATCTAAATTAACTTTGAATGAGCTGGACAGAACCAACCCAAGGCACAGTTGTGAAATTGGACCAGTTGGTCACACCATTTATCTATCTCCCACAGAGTCTATTTTCACCTTCCTAATTCTCCTCAGGGATAATCCATTCCATGCTGCCTTCAACTCAATGTCAGATAATCCCTGCCAAGGTATTGATTGATGAGTAAAAGCATTAGCTGAGAAAGGCATGTGAAACAATTCATCTCAGGGCTGTTAACATTTTAAAAGGCCATCTTTACAGAATTTGGGTCATAGCGAGAGAGTCAAGGAAGAGCCCATGGAAGGGATCCAGGCTGCAAGAACATTCCCCATATTGCTTAGGCTGAGAAAAGCCTCCAGACCTAGATTCATGAAAGACACACTCAAGAAAAAGAAAGTGAGGCTCAGATATATTCCACTCTGATCCCAAAGGATGATAGATAGTGGGAGAGGGGAGCTTCAGGAAAGGTCAGCCTCCAATTAGACTCTTTTTATTAAAAAAAAGGATAAAAAACTAGTACCTTTTGTTCATAGTTGCTCACTTACTCATAGATGCATTAACCAAAGCATCTTAAAGAGGCAGTTATTGTTAAACTTAGGGAAGAGTTTTTAATTAAAAATCAATTAAAGATTATTCACTTGCAAATATTTATTGAATATCAACTGTGTGCCAAGCATCATTCTAAGTGCTTGGGATAAATCCATAGATAAAGATCCTTGCCCTGGAGGGAGGATAGATCCTTTCATTCAGCTGGAGGGAGATAGATCATAGATAATAAACATAGTGAACACATTATATATAATGCTAGAAAGTGATCAGGGTAATGGACAAAGAAAGTCAAGAGGGAGCCAACGATCTGTGGATTGGAGTATTGGTAGAAATTTTAAATAGGTTGATCAGGGTAGATAGTGGGGAGATTAGAGGAAGAGTTTTCCTAGCAAAGGAACCAGCCGGTGCAGAGCCCCAAAGCAGGAGTGTGCCTGACACCTCTGAGGAAAAGCAGGGCCTCGGGGCTGGAGAGCAAAGCAGTGGGAGCAGGTCAGAGAGATAACGGGGGATCATGTAAGGACTTTGGCTTTTACTCTGAGGAGGGTTCTGGAAGGTTCCAAGCACAGGGTGCTGTGACTTGAATTAGGTCTTAATGGGATCTCTGTGGTTGCTAGGGGTAGGAGAATAAGGAAAGAGGGGAAACCAGTGAGGAGACTACTAGTGGGAAGCGGTCAGATGGGGAATCTAGGGGAAGGTAGAGCAAACAAGCTTTTCTGATGGGTGGAATTTGGGGTGCAAAAGAAAGTGAGGATTCAAGGATGACTCTCAGGTTTGGCCTGACTAACTGGAAACACCAGGTTGTTTTGCACACCCATAAAGTCCTAAATATCTTTGACTCCAGAGAGGCTAATGAGTTAACTAGTTAACTTTTAGTATCTATAAAAAGTTATCTAAGCCTTTTCTTCTCACCAAAACTTTATATTTTGCCAACTGTTTATCACACTGTTACCAAACCAAAGTGGGTTCGCCTCCTGGCGAGTTAAAATCAGACTCTCTACCCGAAGTAGTTGTCACACAAAGTAGGGTATATTTGCAGCAAATAGAAGGCCACATGGAATCATTTCCAAAGTCATGTCTGTTCCCAAAGACAGGAAAGCTGGGGCCTTTTATTTCGGATGGGAAATGAATATTCAAAAGGGAGAGGTGGGCATTTGCTTGTGAAGCATCAGTTGGAAAACATGCTTCCACATACATTGCAGGTTATGGTAATAAGGCCTGAGCTCTCCCCTGAGAAGATCTTAGCATTAAAAATGAGGCAAAGGTCATAGGTATTGCTCTTGTGGTGAGGCTTGGTCTGGTTCAGGGTGGTTGGTGATTGCATCTCTTAAACAGTTAAATGCTTCCAAACCCACCCTTGAGTTCCTCAGGGCAATTAGTGGGTGACAATATCCCTCCCTCTAAACTTGAGTTGATATCTGTTCAGACTCACAGGTCTATTGGAGAGATTTTTTTTACCCAGTAGAGTATCTCTCTTGCAATATTAAATAATAATAATAACAACAATCACAATAGCAACTAACATTTATTGAGCCTTTACACTGTGCTAGGTACATGGATTAACACATATAGTCCTCTGAACGACACTAGGAGGTCAGTATTTTGTTATTATCCTCATTTTACAGATGAGGAAATGGAGGCTTGGAGAGATTAACCGCCTTGCCCAGAGAACATTGTTAGTGAGTGGTGTAGGGGAGGAAGACAATTCCTCTACCCTCTAGGTCCTTCTGGCTGGTCTAGGAACTAAATTGACATGAGACAGAATAACAGGAGAAAATCAAAGTTTAATAACATGTATACATGAGAGAAACCCAGGAAAAGTGTGTAACTCGCCAAAATGGCCAAAGCCACCACCTTAAATACCATCTTCAGCTAAAGACAAAGGAGGTTGTTGGGGATAGTGGTTTTGAGACTTCAAAGAGTGGAAGGCAATTTCCATGGAGAGGGAAATGCAAATATTTGATAACCAAGTGTTTTCTGGGCCATCTATAGACAATGTGACCCAAGAGACAGAACTTTGATAAAAATGGGCTTGCTAGTGCCTGCCTGTCTATCACAGCTGGTTTACATTATACTATAGTTACCTTATGGTATTAGCTCCTTCCTGGAACAGGCCTTCTGTCTTAAATTCTTTTAGGCAGTTAGTGGGAAGGTCAAAGTTTCTTTCAGAATCTTTTGTCTTTAAAAATAATCAAGCCAAAGAGACACATTTTGGGGTGGCCAATTTTGATCCCCCACAGTGGCAAGAGCCAGTTCACACATCTTGGTGATTTTCACAACTAGTGTAGATGATGCCAATAAAAACAGTTTCTCCTTATTCATGAGCCACTAGTATCACAGGGTCTCAGAGGGTTAGCAGAATGGAGAAAGGAACAGAGATCTGTAAGAGGGCTTTTGACTGTGGGAATTCACGGAAAGTTAAATTTCAGTACAGCTAAGTTTATAAACAGGTATCTGTTGTAAATATAGTATTATAATTTTGTACACACATAGTATTCTGGATGGGTTGCCATATTGCATGCTAAGTTGTTTAGAAATCTGCAGGAGTAACAGGTATTTTCAGGAATAATGCATAGTGCGGACAGTGAATTTCTAGCAGCACAGAGATGATCTATCACAGTTTTTAAGTATGGGCTAGTCTGTGTCATCCAACGACAAATACACCCAAAATTATAAAGGAAAGCGACGGTGATGACATATCAGAGAAAGAGAGAGTGTTGTCAATATAAATTCTAGGATCTCCTTTTTCTTCGTCCTTTCCCAAAGTTTCCCTGCCATGTCTCTTCTTAAAAGCTAAACAAAGAGAACTCCTACAGAGTCCTCAGGCATCTCCCCCCTGCTGGGCCAGTGCCACACTGGTGGTTAAACTTTAAGTATTCATTGTGTAATGCGCTGCCTTGCATGTAACCCCCTGAGTATTTTATTACTACAATTTAACAGCAAGGAGTGCACAACCATTTAGTCAAATTTCATTTATTCAACATGCAATTACATCACAGCTCACAGGTGTACCTTTGTACATTAGTGGCTATGGGTTTTGAGGGTACAGTGAATTAGAATATTTAATCTACACCTTGACAGTATTTAGAGTCTTAATGAAAAGGTAAGAATACATAACACTAGTAAAATACAAAACAACTGATATACAATTGAAGATAAAACTGCTTCAAATGTACTATGTGAAGAAAGGGGTTTTGTAATCAATTGAAAAATAGTACATAGACAAATCTACATCCCAGGATCCTCCAGGAAAGGACTGATCAGAACAAGAGGAGGCCAGTCACGGAATAATTCTCAAAGGAAATGAGATTTTTAATCTGAGTCTCAAGAGAAAAACTGATCATTAGAAGGGAGAGTATTTCAGAAAAAGATACAGCAGAGCCAGGTAGGGGAGCAGATGCAAAATATAGGCCCTGGGGCAAGAGTTACTGCCCCTAGAAGTCTGTAGAATAAGGGTTGGTATGCTAGGCCAACCTCCTACTGTAAACACAAACTCTCCCCATAACCTTTAGGGTCAGATTGCTCAAGAAGGCCCTTGAGGAAAGGCATAAAACCCCTTTCATATAATTTGTACTTTTTGCATCTTTTCCAAGGCAGAGTAAAGAACAGCACTGTCCTCTCATCCCCGGAGACACAGGAAACAGTCTGACAGGCCTGTCAAGGATCACACAGGCTCCGCCTCTCCCACAGTCCATCTCACAGTCCAGCTTTCCTCACTTATGACGCTGGAGACCCCAGCCTTCCAAACTAGCCAGTTCCACAGCCAGCAGGAAATCTCCCCCATCTCCCAGGCAATCTGCTTACAGTGAGCCGGTGATTAACCTCATTAACACACAGCCGTTGATAGCAGTCAGTCAGACATTACTCAAAACCATTAAACACAAGAACAGCTATTAGCCTGTTCGGGCATCAGGATGGTGCTCCCTAGCTCTAGGCCTTCAGGAGCAGTTAGTCTGTCACCTTAGTCACAAGCTAAATGAGCACTGGAAACAAGAGGGCACATTCAGAGCCCTCAATCTTGGGTGCCTGGAGGATTATGCTCTGGGGCCAGCTATCTGAGGATTGCAGTCCAGAGAGTGTAAACATGCACACCAGACATTCCTCCAGGGAGAATCACTGGTACCCAGGAAGGAAAAAATATATTATTTCTAGAAACTTAATTAGCAATTCCCTGTCCCTCAGCTGCCTCTCATAAACTAATTAATGCTGTGGATGTGGCTTGCTAATTATTTTCGAAATCACCACCATCCTGAGAGGTCCCACTGGAGACCCATCACCTCCTCAAAGTCTTTCCTGCCTCAAGTAGCGCACTCTCTCGCTCTCCTGGGAAAGGCAGTCTCATTCAGAGTCAGCCCGCACAGTGGAAGATCTGTGTACTCCCAAATCAGTTCAACGTATTGATCTCAACTCCAAGAGCTGTGTCCATTTCATGAGCAGAGGAGTCATAACTTCAGACAGCACTAGCCACAGGGGTCCTCCACCTGGGTCCAAGGATTCCCAAGGGGAGAGAGTATGGGTGGAATGTAAGAAGTCTGTGAATTTGCCTGGGAAAAACTACATATTTATTCCCATTAACCTTTAACTGAAAATTAATATACCCATTGATTGTAAGTGCCTGCAGTGACTGATAGCAGGATTGGCCCTACTGTGACTTTTTCCCCATAGAAATCACAGATATTTCCATATCACATTTCAGTTCTCACAGATATCTTTTGAAATATCATTTATATTCATAATTAACTCAAAATTATGGAACTTATTAGACTTACAACACAATATTTTTATTTAAGGTATTTATTGTGAAGCACATACATTGCTTTATTACAAACTTAATATGTCGATAGCTATATTTTCATCTCATTGATTTTCTTTGTAATCCTGTCTTTTATTTTATGCATTCATTTAAACAATCTGAGAAAGAGTTCAGGATTTTACCATACTTCCACAGGTGTTCATGACAAAAATAATTTAAGAATATTTGAGTCAGACACGTAGTGAGTACTTTAATCATTGCTTATTGATTTTTCTAAAAAAGTGCATAATGATTCTCGACTTTCCGTGTATGTTTGTATTTGTCTGCCTTTCCTCCTGGCAGTCAGCATAAAGCCAAGGAGTTAACTGAGCTTGTTCATGAACTACTCTCCTTCCTCTGTTTCCAATGTTTCAGGTTCTTATTTTCTATCACTGTCCATTCTACAAGCAATACCCCTTCCTGTGGCCCGGAAAGAAGATTCCAGCGCCCTGGGCAAACACGACAAGTGTGAGCAAGCTAACCCTCTTCCTGGAGACCACTCTGAGTGAGCGGGCCCCTCGCGGCTCCTTCCACGTCTCTCAAGCCATTCTCACCCCCAGAGTGAAGACCATCGCCCGAGGCCTGGTCGGTGGCCTCAAGAACACTCTGGTTCACAGGTAAGAATTTGCTTCCCTCTCACAAGTAAGGTTTAAAAAAGAAAAAAAAGCATTGATCTTGATTCTCTTCTGAATAAACAGTGGTAAAACCATATAGTTTGAAGATTTGAAATAGCAACAAAACAAAAAACCTTGTATTTGAAAAATCTGTGCATTTGGGGTAGCTTGCATTAACTGTGGCCAAAGGATCTCTAAATACTTTGTTAAAATGTACATTTTATATCATAAACACTCTAAATTTTGATACTAAGACAGAGTACTTTAAGCCAACACCCGTCTGTTGGCTTCCGGAAAGTGGTCACATCATGTTCTTGCCTCTGCCCTCGCAGCCGGCCCAAGTACTCAGTCATTTAAGAAGCAGTTCAGAGATGGCCCTCCAGGGCTGTGGGGCATCCTGCCTTCTACGGCGACCGTGAATCCTCAGAAGCAGCTTGGGGTGCCACCCACTAAGCCAGAGCTTCAAATACTCGAAGCACAGAATGAAGCCTGACTGTGCAATTAGGCAGGAGAAGCCCCAGAAATTTTGTATTGTCTGATGTTCTTTATCCTGGACACCAATGAATGATAGGTGTTGTCGAGGAACAGGTGTCGTTTGGAAAAGTCTTATATCTATGTACATGTCTGTGTCTATGTCTGTGTCTTTGCATAAAGGGAATGTTATAAATACATGTGGCTAGCAGGGCATCCCTTGCAATCCCAGCTGAGGCAGCTAACATGTTTGGGTCACAAGGGATGTTTACAGGAGTCACTTTGATTCCTGAGTTCCAGGGAGTGAGCACCAGAGTTCAGATAGTAAAAGACTCATCCACAAAACTGTCCCTGTCTATTTGGCTCTGAGTTTGGATAGCATGACTTCAGATAGCAGGAGTTCAGCTGGCAGGAGTTTGGATAACAATGAGCACCTGCCCTTTTCTTTCTTGGTGAGGACTCCTGATTATGTTGGCCGTGAACGAGACCAGAAACCCCTCTCTGTGTGGCTCTTCTAAGTCTAGACTGAATTATTTGTGCTGAACTTAGAAAAGAGAATTTCATAAACCAGTGATAGATCTCTGAAAGATCCAGAATTACGAACTTTCTTTTTTATAATGTATGTTCGTGTGTCCACGCCATTTTCCTCATGCCTGTGGTAAATTTATAGATTAACATTATTTATTTATTTATTCATTCAACAAAGATTGAGTACCAAGGAGGAGCTAAGTCCAAAGACACAAGATGAATAATACAGTGTCTACCCTCAAGGAACTTACAGTCTAGCAGGAAAAATAAACATGTAAATTTCTATAAAGCCATGTGAAAATCACCATAATAAAAGTTGGTGCCAAGAGCCGTGCTAATAAGGGAGAGGGAGTATTTAAAAATAAGGATAAGTTATATCTGTAAACTGTATTCTGAATATAAAGTACGTTCTTGCAGATGATTTCATTTGATTCTTAGATTCAGCCAGCCTCGAGGAGGGCACAATGTCTAGAGCACATTATCAGCCCCATTTAAGATGGGCTTAGTGAGGTTCAGTGACCCAGACCCACATAGCTGATAAGAGTCAATAATATGTCTCAGCTCTGACTTCTGGCTGTTGGACTATTGCCCTTTCCAGTGTTCAACACTGACTTGGGTAGAGTATATTTCAGTCCCTGTTCCTTTCTGCTCCACTGGCCTGTAATTGTCTTATTAATACCTGAGTCTGGTCAGATCTTACTGGTTACAACTGTGAAACCACAAAGTCTCAATGCTTTTCATACTTGTAAATTCCTAGAACTTTAATCTGGCTGCAAATGCAGCACAAGGCTCTTTCACTTAGTGGTAATGATGGCGGCACATGCCCAAAGCCACAGCATCCCAGCATGCCAGAGCCCTCGCCCAGTGCTAGCGAGCAGGTGTCTCCGAGGCTGGAAAGATACTTGGGCAACTCGACCCCTGCTGGTCACAAGAATATTACAGAGATTCATCATGCATTCCTAGGCCTCCACAACAATGGAAGGAAGAAGTTCAGCTTTGATCAAGAGCTTGTCCCCAGACACATGCATGACATGTGGCTGTCATTTCCTCTGGGCTATTGAACAAGCATAGGAAAGAAGCAGTTGTCACTGGGCCTTCTCCTCAGTCCCAACACCCAGAAAGTCTGTCCTAACTAAGGCACACAGGGGTGCTGTCAAACTCGTCCTGGGCACTGGTTAGCAGCCTAACCAAGAGGAAACAAACAGGTCTATTTTCCTACAAATGTAGCGGTGGTTTTCTCAGCAGAGTTAACCCTCCCTCCCCCAACTCTTAGGTGAACTTGGACCTGAGATCTTGTTCACTTTGGTTCATCACCCTAAAAGGAAGCCATGAAAAACATAGCCATTGTGACTGAATTTCTATGGTAGTTATCCTTTCTATGGTAGGATTCTTAGAAACCTTGCCCTCCTGCTGAAATCAAATGAAAGCAAGTTTTGCCTAAGCCTGAGGACAGAGCAGCCATGGGACCAGAGACAGGGACGCAGACTGAAATCAGAAGCCTGAGATTGAAGTCTGACTTGGTCCCTGTTATGGGCTGAATTGTGCTCCCTGAAAATTCATATAGTGAAACCCTAACCCCCAGTACCTCAGAATGTGACTGTTTGTGGAGATAGAGCCTTTAAAGAGGTAATGAAGTTAAAATGAGGCCTTTAGGGTGGGCCCTAATCTGATCTGACTGGTGTCCTTATAAGAAGAGGAGATTAGGACAGACAGACACCAGGGATGCTGGAACACAGAGGAATGATCATGTGAGGACACAACGAGAAGGTAGCCATCTGCAAGCCAAGGAGAGAGGCCTCAGGAAAAGCCAATCCTGCCGACACCTTGTTGTTGGACTTCTAGCCTCCAGAACTATGGGAAACTTAATTTCTGTTGTTTAAGACACCCAGCCTGTGGCACTTTCTACCGCAGCCCTAGCAAACTAACACAGTCCCTTGACAACAGGGTGGCCTTTGACAAGTGTCCTGAGGTCTCTGAGCTGTGGTTTTCTCACCAGTTAAATGGGTTAATAATACCACACAAGGTTGTAGAGTCTTAACATGAAAACGCTACCACAGTGCCTGGCACGGGATACGCATGCCATCCCTGTCTGTAAAGAAACCCAGAGACGCAGCACCAGCCTTGTTCTCTATGGGCCTCAAAGTTAAATGGAAGTTTCTCACCCACTGCTCTGCAACCCATGGCATTTGGTGCCTCACAGGCCTGTCAGCAATATCTGGCTCAGCGTTCTCTATCGATCTCTCATCTTGGCAAATGCCAGAAGTTAAGAAAATAAGCTGGCTCCTCCTCACAATGGGTTCTACATTTCCCTTTCTTTGTACGTGATCCGGGTTATTCGATCCTTGCCTTGGGGAAGGTCGACACATGCAACCTGAAGCTGACACAGAGCTCTTTGTCACCGGAGACTGCAGGGGCACACCTCTCCCTCATTTCTCTGCGCAGGCTGCAGCGATCCTCGGAGGTTTGGCTCTGGCTGGAGTCAGCCCACTGGAGTTGCCGCCAGGCCTTTAATTCTCATTTCCCCGTGATGACCAGAAGGTGGCGCCTGCATTTCATACTTAAGCACTGACTAGTGATCCTTAAAGGAAGACTTGAATGGGCCCTTCATGTGGGCCACTGTGTTTTCCTGGTCTCTTTCTCCAGTGGAAGGCGGGATTTGCAGCTCTTCATTCTCAGGCCTCAACATTTTGTCACCTAACAGCAGGATGACTTTAGGAAAATTTTTCACCCCCAGCCCCCAAATACCTCTACCTGACACTCTAACGTTGATTCCTTCTCTCGTGCCAAACACTGACATAGTGCTTACTAAATCCCAGGCATGGTTCTACGCACTTTATATGTATTACTTTATTTAATTCCTCAAAAATCTATATGAATTAAGTATAATTATTATCCCCATTTCACAGGAGGAGAGACTGAGGCACAGAGAAATTGAATAAGATGAGGTCAAATTGAGGTAATTAAGTCTTCAGGAGTCCCAGTTAAAAATGGAAGTGCCTGTGATGGTGGTCTATTAATTTGTAATCAGCTATTAATATAAAAATACAAATAAATGTAGGAGATGGGTTTTAACCCATTGCTGATTATAGAGTCTGCTGAGTGAGGGAAGAGAGCCAGGACTGCTGATAGTCATCATGATAAGAGGAGAAGGACAGAATGGTACCAAGGCCTTGATAGGGTTGTCTAGGAGAAGACTGAGAAGTCAGGATGTCGGCTAAAAGAAGGGAAGGCAGCTTCAAAGCAGAAAAGGAAAGGAGAAGATGACAACCAAGAAGAGTGTTACCAGAAGAGAAAGGGACCCATTAAGATAATAAACTTCGCTTATTTTCAATTTGGCCTAGAGCGTATCCCTCCTAAAGAATCTCCAGTCACTTAACCAAACGTTAAGTCCCAGTTCGTGTCTTCCTTAAAGCATTCTCAGCCTCTTGAGTATTTAGTTCACTATTTCTACTGTGATGCAAAACTGTGAGTACACTTCATTGCTGCCTCCTCTATACCACCCAGGGTATTTTATACTTAACTGCTAATATAGAAAGTGTCACATTAAATTGTCATCATTTGTTTATGTCACTAAACTGTGAGCTTCTCTGGGCAAAACAGTCTGGCTATCACATAGAAAGCCCTCAAATTATAAAATGAGACTGACAGACTGTGTTTGTAAGACAACTGAGTAAGCACTGGTCTATTAAGAAGCCACACACTGTGCCGAAGCAACTGTATATCCATAAGGAAGAAATGAACCTTGACCCTTACTTCATACCATATTAACTTGAGATGGATCATAGATCTAAACATAAAAAGCTAAAACCATAAAGCATTTAGAATAAAGCAGGAAAATATCTTCGTGACTTGGGAGTAGGCAAAAGTTTCTTAGGTCACAGAAACTATAAAAGAAAAAATTGATAAATTAGACTCCATCAAAATTAACAAATTCAGCTCACCAAAATATGCCATTGAGAAAATTAATAGGCAAGCTATAGGCAGGGATAAAATATTCAAAAAGCAATATCTTACAAAAGACTAGTATCCAGAAAATATAAATAACTTCTAGAACTCAACATAAAAGAAAAAGAAAGAATGGATAAAAGAATTGAACAGTTACTTCCCAAAGAACAGACACAAATGACCAATAAGTATGTGACAAACTCCTCAACATCATTAGTTATCAGAAAAATCAAATTAAAACATTATATCTTTAAACACCCACTGGAATGGCTAAAATTAAAAAGACTGATAGCACCAAATTTGGGGGAGGATGTGAAGCAACCAGAACTCTCATACTTTGTTGATGGAAATGTACAATGGAACAACCTCTTTGGGAAAGATCTGGAAGTTTCTTATAAAACTAAATGTACATCTACCATATAATAACACAATTTTACTCCTTGGTCTTTACCCAAGAGGAATGAAAATAAATGTCCACAGAAAGACTTGTATAAGAATAGAAGAGTTTTCTTTGTAATATCCCCAAACTGGAAACAGCTCATTTATCCATCAATTGGAAAATGGATAAACAACAGTACATTCATACAATGGAATACTATGCAGTGATAAAAAGAACAAACTACTGATGTGTGCAGCAATGTGGATAAATTTCAAAACCGTAACGCTGAGTGAAAGAACCTCACATACAAGAATACATATTGCATGGCTTATATGAAGTTCTAGAACAAGCAAATATAATCTATAGTAGGAAAAAAAATCAGTATAATTGTTGCCTCTGGGAGGATGGGGAGAGGGATTGGCGGGGAAGATGCATGCAGGCCCTTCTGGGGTGCTGATAATGTTCTATACCTTGATACGGGTATGGGTTATGGGTATACATTTGTCAGAACTCAACTAGTGTACACTAAGATTCGTGCATTTTATCGGATGTCAACTTTAGGTCAAAAGAAAAACTGAAAGCAAATATTAAAACCTAGTTAATGATTTGCATACTGAGATATTTAGGGGATGTGTTTAGATATTTGCATTTGGAATCTGTCGGAAATATAAGATGGATTGATGGAAGGGTAGAGTGATGGATTGATGGATAGATATGTTCTAAGTAAGTAGAGTAAAAAGTTAGTGGTAGAATCTAGATGGTGAATATACTCACTGTAAATTTCTTTCAATGTTACAAAATATTTAAAAAATTTCATGATAAAAAAATTAAAGAACTCATCAATACAATAATTAGGCGCTTGATCTTTGTTTTTCAAGGTGCTGTTGACACCTTGAAAAACTAAGGTGTTTTTGTACCTCAAGCACCTCTTTGGTGCTTGAGGCCAATAATCTCCTCTTCCAGCACAGAAATCCTGAAAGTACAAATCTCTGATGGAATAGACATCAACTTCATCCCTGAAAGAGATACAGAGCTTAAACAGACAAACTTCTAGGGGCTCATGCTTCTACTGACATACTTTTGTTACATTAACGGAAATGTTTCACTTCCATTTCTAGAGGGGTCCTTCTAAACTCTACTCTCTGTTCTCTCCTCTGTGTAGGAATCTTCCTGCCATCCTGGACTGGGTGAAAACTCAGAAGCCTGGAGCCATGGGGGTCAACATCATCACATCTGACTTCGTGGACCTGGTGGACTTTGCCACAACTGTCATTGAATTGAATGACCTCCTGCAGGAGGATAGAGCTTTGGCGAAATGCTGATTTAATTTTTTATTTAACTTAATGTTGAGTTTGTTGATCCAGGCTAGAGTTCTGAAGGATTTCCTGTTAAGGTGGCCCCTGGGCAGTAATGGTAAAATGAGTAAGAGGAGGAGGGCATTTTCTTTTCCCTCCTGACAGGGCCATTTGGATAAAATTACAGGGCTTTTAATTGCATTTTTCCCAAATGAGACTTTTAAAGAACTCAAGTCCAAGGGAAGAAAGCATGTTTCACGTGATCAGGGTCAGGATCTCCCCAATGGCTTATGATGTTAAATGCAATATGGAAATGGAGTCTCTACGTTCCATTGGGGAGTTGAGTGTCCCCTAATTGGCCCAGTTCCCTGTTGTCTTCCAGGATGTTGTGTTTGAGCCAGTGAGAAGGTGGGATCAGAAAGGCATTCCTGGTCAAAAGAGTGGCTCATTGCAGCTGTGGACTGCCCTGTGGGTGGCTCTAACATCAGCCTGGGCTTCGAGGGGAGAAAAGGCCAAGCACCAATTCTCTCTATGTGTGTTGAATGTCACCACTTCTTCCCTGAGAAAGTAAGACTTATTTGTCACCAAGGTATTTCAGCCACAAGCTGTTCTTGCTTAGATTGTGCCTGGTAACTGGTCACCTTCATTCTTTAGATAAACAGTGCATACTGCCCTTGGTATCAGAAATGTATTTCTCAGTTTTAAAACATTGATTCCTTTCTATTTCTTTTGGCCCCTTCTTAAAAGTGAAAGGAACAATGATGGGACATCTTTTCGGTGTGGGGCCCAACAAGAGATAGATATGCATGTTTGTTGCATGCCAGATTCTTTGATCTAATTTTGTAGCTTTTTCCAAAATGGCTACCAGGTGGGCGCCTGCATCATTTTGGCAAAGTCCTTTCTGGAGTGGGATCTTCAAGCCAGATCTTGGCACTGCATTTTGTTGTTGTCTGCCTAGGACTCAGGTTTGCACCGTGGGACACAACACTGATGGAAGGCACCTTGTCCGTGACTCCGTGGAGGCAGATGCAGGATGCGTGGGGAAGTGCAATGGATTTAAGGAGGGAGCTCCAAGTGGCTTTGGAGCCATTCTGTAACTCCTTGAAAACAAGACTACCTCGGGGACATTTAGGATGACTTGTGTGTCATCAAGTGAGAAATACCCAGTGTTGGAACATTTCCAGTTCATGTCTTGATTGTTCTACTTTCTGCAGGTTGTTCTGAGCCTACTAACTACCACTGTATGAGGGCTTTGAAACTCAAGAGAGCATTTTTCTTTTAACTGATAAGAGGTGGTTATCTATAAAGAGCCCTCTTGTGTTTCATTTTATTTATTTATTTATTATTTATTTATTTATTTATTTATTATCCTCAGTGCTTCTTACCCTAAGAGCACTCACAAAGGAGCTTCCTGAACTTTTCTCACCCAGGCCAGATGCTGCCATGGTTTTCCTCCCCTCAACAGGACCACACATCTCAGGACCATGAGTGACCTCTGACTGCTGTAGACGTCCTGGCTCCCCCAGTCATGCCCAGGACAGTGTTCATGTGTGGGTGTCAGTGTCCAGATCTGAGAGGCCACTACCAAGTCATGCACTAGAGCAGAAGATGAAATGGGTCATGAAGAACTCTCAGTTCTTGAGGAAGACCCTCCAGAAGAAAGCTGAAAAGGAAGGAGCTGGAGAACAAACTGGGCATGGGAGTGTGTGCACTTCGATCGATGCTCCTCAGAACTGTCTGAGAATCTCCAAGAAAGTGTCAGCTTCTGGATTCTTAAGGAAGAAAGATAAACACGGAATCCTGGATGGACGTGTGCATTTATAAAGATCGTGGGACCCCGCAGCAGCTGCCCGTTCCTATTCTTGGATGCTCGTAGCTGGATTTCGCATGTTGCTGCAGTAGGAGGTGTACTAGGTGAGCTACTAAAAGCACATGCACACCCCCAACTCTTGGTCTTTCAGCCTCTCCCCTCTGTAGGGTGATTTAAGCCCTGAGCTTTTGCTTTCACAGCTTGAGGAGGTCACAACACAAATGCCTCTGGGAGAATCTGGTTTAACTTTTCCTTTTCTTGCATTTGAACCCCTCACCAAAGAGGATTCTGGGATTTTATTGTCAGCTGCTTTAGGGCCTTCTCTGGAAAGGAGTAAGAGAGTGAGTGCCCTCGCTTTCTCAATTTTCCTTCAGTCCTGATATTAAACTCCAGTGACAAGCTCTGAAGTCCCTGGCCCACCCTCAGGGTTTTATTTGTGTTGTTATTATTTCATTTTGGTCTTGTTTTTAATTCTTGGTCAATTGCTAGGGCCTAGATCATGTCCCCTCTTTTAACCCTTTGTTACTTGGCAAAGAGATAAGGAGGCAAGAGGAGACTTACTTTGCTCTGTTTTATTTGAGCCTCAGCTTTGTCCAGGTGCTTGGTGCTATGAGGCCAGGCGTGTTGACAGGTATCTACCTGGGATGCCAATGACACCCAAGGGCTGCTGACTGTTCAGTGAAATGTTTACTTGATTTCCTCCTTTAGTTGTAAAATATATAGTTGCACTTCACTTGGGTTGTAACATTTAAGTGCATCTCAGTGTTTGCATGATAAGAGAAAAGTCATCAAGCATGACACAAAAGCACAGAAAATGAGACAAGGTCACGTGCATGGAGTCCTGCTCTGCGTGGCGAGTGCAGGCCTCACTTCTTCATGCTGCTTTGGGTTGCCAGCCTGGCTTCCATTTTGAAATTCTGCACTGGAGTTCTGGGAGGTAGGAGGAGGATTATTTACAATTCACCCTTGATAAACACCCTTGAATTGACAGAATCTCTGCCCTAAGAACGAGTTGCTCAACATCTTGTAAAGAATGCTCCTGCTCCTAAGGCCAAGAAGGAGAGCTCAACGGTGGGACAGAGGGAAAATAGACTTTAGGTCCATGGCTCATTCTGCAACTGCCAACAATAAACATGGTGACCCAACTACATCACTTATTCTCACAAGTTCTGGGGACCTTTCAGATCGAACAAGGCTCTCATATTTTTTCAGAATTAACTTTACAATTAGCTGTAAAGCTACTTGATTGAGCCAAAGAGGACTTTAGTTTCACAGGATTTGGGGCCATATTTATTCTGAAACGTAGACTGGTTTTTCATGAGCTCTCTGGACCGTTTCCCACATAGCCACATTTCCATGGCTTTGTGGCAAAGGGGACCATCACAGATTTCAGTTAGATTAGAGCAGTGTTTAAAGGCTTGAACTTTGAGCCTATTGGAAGTACCACTGTGGTTTCATGGGTCCAGAATATATTCTTAGGATTGGGGAGAGAGGTCAAGATGGAATTGATGGAAGGGAATGATATATTATTGAGGATTAAATTTTAAATTAATAGCAGATCTAAGAGGGTTATACTAAAAAACATTATATATTTGCTGTATTAGACTGTCTAGTAATTAAGTTTATTTTCCTTAGCACTGAGTCCAGACCCCTGAATTCTTGAGAACAGTTAAGCCACAGTCCAAACCCAGGATTTTATGTAAACTCAAAGAAAAGCACAAGATCTGAGCCCAGATCATGACTGATCTTAAGAATCCTATTTCTTCTTCTGTGACCTCGTATTCACATCAAAAACTTGATGTTTCTGTTCGAGAAGACAGTGTAGTGGAGCATTCTGGAATTAAATGCAGTTTTGTGGTGTGTCAGGATTTTCTATTTCTATTTTTCTGAATATTACCGTAATAAAATTCTCCCCAAAGAGACATTATTAAAACCCAGCTAGAAGGCTTAGTGCTCAGCTAAAGGTGGGGAAAAAGAAGAAATTAAGACTGAAATGAAACTGCCTCTTTTCCTGGGAAGCAAAGGGGCTACCCAAATTCAGGCCATCTTACAGAATTAGCTCATGCCACAGTTGAAGTTTTTGTAATGTTCTTTATTGGCTGACTGCAGATTTTTACTGTTGGGTTCTGGGAAACAGAGCGGGCTAATGAGTGAGGCACAGCCATGAGAGTCCCCTCCCGTGGCTGAGCAAGTAAGTGATCCTGTGCTGAGTTTGCCTTGGCTCTTTCATCTGGAATAAAGATGCTGTCTGCTACTTTCGCACTGTTTTGCAAACCTTGGTTGACTGGCTCTTCAAAGTATCAGGTCCCTAATGATTAGGTTCAATGCTGTATACTCAGGGCCTGTACAGTTGTGGTAATTCTTCCTTGTGTGGCATGTGTAGAGAAATGCTACTTGGGCTTATTTCTCAAAAGTGTGGCGTGGGATGACAGAACTTGTCCAACAGTGGCGCCTTCAGTAATCCAGATAATGAGTAGGGCTGAAAGAAATCTGCTTACATGTACATGAGCTCCTGAGAGGTGGGCTTTCCCAAATACCTGCTAAATAGTCATGTTATGCCAAAAGGAAAGGAAGAGAGATTGATAACATCAAATGTCCAGAAGGACAGGAAGTTTGTTCTGTGTGGCGTAGAACTTGCTTGTCCCTCTAACTCCCACTGACTTTCCAGTACATCTTGCCCCTCTGCCTCAGGCTGCTCCCTAGTTCTTGCCATCATAGCTTTGTCACTCACAAATGTGGCCTTGGGATACACAGGAGTGAGCTGATTGAGTGATAAGTGACGTACCCGGAAACTTCACACTTTTAATTCCAAATTCTTTACTTCCCCCAAGAGACCCACTATCTCCTGATCCTCTGGCTTCTCCAGCTTCCTTCTAGAAATAGTGACACTAATGGCACTCTATCATTGAATTGACCCTAACTCAGAAGAATACAGTACAAAACCCTATTGATGTTGTTGAACTAGCACAGTCTTAGATACTATAAAAATATTCTAAGATAACTTTTTTTGTTTTGTTTTGTTTTTTTCAGGAAGATTGGCCCTGAGCTAACATCTGTTGCCAATCTTCCTCCTTTTTGCCTTTTTTTCTCCCCAAAGCTCCAGTAGATAGTTGTATGTCATAGTTGTACATCCTTCTAGTTGCTCTATGTGTGACGCAACCCTAGCATGGCTTGATGAGTGGTGGTCCGCGCCCAGGATCCAAACCAGCAAACTGCGGGCTGCCGAAGCGGAGCACGCGAACTTAACCGCTACGCCACCTCGTTAGCCCCTAAGATAACACTTTCTATCTTGCAGTTAATATAGTGTTCTAGTTTTTTCTCCAACAAAACTTGTTCTTAGGACTGTTCAAACTTGTTTCTAAGCCACATAGTTGGGATAAAATATTTTCCTTCTCTTTACTGGGAATTCAATCCCACAGTCTATGAAGGCAGCCCCATCAATAGTCTAGAGGCATTTTCCATCTCATTCCTTCTCATCTCCTTCACACAATACCACTTCCTCCTCTTGTGTCTTGGCCATCCTCTGTCATCTGCTGATTATTATTAGTCACAGGATGCTGGCAAAACTTACAATAAAAGGCACATACGTTCACTGATGTCCAAACATACTCTCATCACTGTGGTTTTTGCTCCTTACTCATCTCAAATGCATTATTCTGCCCGTCCCCCTTGCCCCCCAGCCCT